AAACCCCTAAACCCTAAACCCCTAAACCCTAAACCCCTAAACCCTAAACCCTAAACCCCTAAAAACCCCTAAAAACCCCTAAAAACCCCTAAAAACCCCTAAACCCTAAACCCTAACCCCTAAAAACCCCTAAAAACCCCTAAAAACCCCTAAAAACCCCTAAAAACCCCTAAACCCTAAACCCTAAACCCCTAAACCGCTGGGTTGCCTTGAGGATGCTTGGCAGCGACTACCAGTGGCGAGGAACGGGTCGCTTCCAGGGTTCCCAATGCGGCGGAGCAGAGGTTTAGGGTTTAGGGTTTAGGGTTATAGGGTTTAGGGTCTAGGGTTTAGGGTTATAGGCTTTAGGGTTTAGGGTTATAGGGTTTAGGGTTTAGGGTTTAGGGGTGCGGCGGAGCAGATGATCTAGGGATCGGGGTTGAGGGATCGGGGTTTGGGCTTTAGGCTTTAGGGTTATAGGGTCTTTCGTGCTTTTAGGATCTAGGGATCGTGGTTTAGGCTTGAGGCTTTACGGTTATAGGGTTTTTCGTGCCTTCAGGATCGAGGGATCGCGGTTTAAAAGTTTAGGCTTTAGGCTTTAGGGTTATAGGGTTATGCGTGTTTTAGGATCTAGGGATCGGGGTTTAGGCTTTAGGCTTCAGGGCTATTGGGTTTAGGGTCATAGGGTTTAGGGTTTAGGGTTTTTCTGGCTTTTAGGCTTTAGGGTTTTTTGGGGGCTTTTAGGTTTTAGGGTTTAAAGTTTTTCGGGCTTTTAGGGTTTAGGCTTTAGGGTTTAGGGCCTTCAGATTACAGGGCCTTTAGGGTTTAGGATTTAGGGTCTAGGGTTTAGGGTCTTTAGGGAAGGGATAGGAGTTGTAGGTGATAGGGGTCGGAATATTTCGGCGTGAGGAGGGTTTTAGGTTATAGTAGTACACTGGTTGGGGGTTCCCTTCGGTAGTTTACTGGGGTTTATGTGGGTTTTAGAAAGGTTTGGGAATAAGTAGACAGAGCTGCTAGCGACCTACCCCTCTAAACCTTACGTAACCCCGAAATGCCTTAAACCCTAATTAAGCTCTTATGAGTGAAGCCTTATGTGCTAGATCTTCTGATTCAAGACGTCCCGCCTCCAGCATCACACATGGAGGTTCAAACAGCGCTGACTTCTCAGCCGGAAGCATGTATACGCCACGAAGATGCCACGAAACGGTAGAACATAGAAGCCTGCACCATGAGAGTAGGGTTTAGGATGATACGGTTGATGGTATAAATCCTGCATTGCCCGTAATAAGGAATATACCATAATTCCCATAGTTTAGGGTCCTTAAGGTAATGCAGGAATTATATCATCAACCGTTGTCTAGATCTTTATCAGGCCATCCTAAGGAACAGTATCAACAAGTAAATTCTTCAGCCACCTACAGTATAAACCCCTAACCCCCCTGAAGCCCTAAGCCCCTAAACCCCTCACACTGAAACCCTAAAACCCCTAAGCCCCATTACCACCTTTCGCTTCTTAAGTCCCAAAAAAAATCTAGGACATGTTCAGGTGGGTAGTTACCGCTATAGGAGCCTTCTGGAAGGTCTATCTACTTTATAGAAGCCTTATGCAACCCTAAACTCCCTACCTGCAGTTTCCTTTAACTTAAGTCCCGAAAAGTTTCTAAAAACCCTAAGCCCTAAACCCCTGAACCCCTAAAAAAAGAACAGCTCTGGCAGGAACTACAAGGTCCTTCGAGCTGAACGGCTGAAGCCGGCCCTTTCCCCAGTCATCTTGGGTTTAGGGTTTCGGGTTTAGGATTTTGGATGTTGGCTTTAGGATTTAGGGCTTAGGGCTTCGGGTTTAGGATTTTGGATGTTGGGTTTAGGGTTTAGGGCTTAGGGTGTAGGATTTTGGATGTTGGGTTTAGGATTTAGGGCTTAGGGTTTAGGATTTTGGACTTTGGGTTTAGGGTTTAGGATTTAGGTCTTAGGGTTTAGGATTTTGGATTTTGGGTTAAGGGTTTAGGATTTTGGGTTTAGGGTTTTAGGGTCCCTAAACCCTGAAGCCTGAACCCTAAACCCTGCAGTTTGGGCTAGAAGGGGGGGCGAAGCTGGGCAAGGAGTTCTCTAAGGCAAGGGGTACTGGGGTAGGCAGCTTAGGTTCCCCATCATTCATAGGAGCACGCACCTCAAAACCCTGTCGTAATTGTCAGGGAACCCTATAGGAACCCTGAAAGGAACCCTTCCCTGCAATTGTCCAAGGCACCTCCCCTAAACCCTAAACCCCTAAACCATAGAACCTAAACCCTAGACCCTAATTAAACCCTAGATCCTAAACCCTAAACCCTAAACCCTAGACCCTAACCTAAACCCTAAAGCCCAGAACCTATATAAACCCAAGTGTATTCTGTCACCCGCCCTCTCCGGATGCATGAGGTCCTCCCGCGCAGCGCCCCGGCAGAGGCGGGGAAACGGTTATGCCATATTCCACTATACTATGATCTGAATCTAGTATAGTAACAGTACCTTATAGTATACTATAGTCTAGCAATAGTAACACTACCTTATAGTATACTACAGTCTGTTATAGTATGTAGTCTAGTAATAGTATAGTAGCAGTACCTTATAGTATACTATAGTCCATTATAGTACATTCTAGTATACCATAATCTAACTATAGTACATTCTAGAATATGAAAGTTTCCGAAAATAGGGGACCCCCCATATAGTACCCTAAATAGTAGGACCCTTATTATAAGGACCCCCAAAATAAGGTACCTTCCAAAACCCTAAACCCTAAACCCTAAACCCTAACCCTAAACCCTAAACCCTAAACCCTAAACCCTAAACCCTAACCCCTATTTTCC